ATACGATGCAAAACATTTTTTGCGGTCGTATAAAAATGCTTATTTGGGCCCCTTTTTGACCCCGAATTCCTAAACTGTTAGGACCATAACCCTGAAAATCAACACCAACCTTCCTTCTGTGTTTATAACCCTTTTGTTTAAATTTCATAGATTTCTGTTTACATTTACTAAAGTTATTGTCCGGAAACCAACTGTCTTCGGACGACGACAACGTGATACAAATATATCAGTATAAAAATTGAAATGGGTTGAAATATTTGTATTAATTTTCAAATGAAGATTTCTTGCTATTGCGCAATACTGTGCTACTGCCAAAAATTGTGGGTAATCTCATGTGCTCCGGAAGGGTAAGCAGATTTAAGTTGCAATTTTCTGTTTTGCATAAACACTAATATACCTACAATGGATAAAAAGGACTGATGTTACTGCATCAGCAGCTTTATCTAGGTTAAGTCACTATGGGTACATTATGTCAGCATTTTTACTTATCTCTTGATTATAAGGAATAAATATTAAATCAAGGTATCTAGTACATGTACTCTTCTTTTATGTTAGAATTTTTTTTATTTTCATTTGACTCAAATTTATGATTTGATTTGATTTTTGGTGTTTTAACGCCACTTTTAAGCACCGCTTTTGGGCTATTTCGTGGCGGCCAGTTTTTATTGGTGGAGGAAGCCGGAGTGCCCGGAGAAAACCACCGACCTTCGATAGGAAAACTGACAATCCTAGTCAATTAAGATTGGAGTCGAGTGCACCTGCACGAGCGGGGTTCGAACTCACAACCTCAGTGTTGACTGGCTAGTGATTACAGTAGTAACTACTTAGACCACTTGGCCACCGAGGCCCCTCTCAAATTTATGAGGAAGATTCATAACATGATACAAGAACGACCAATTATTAAAATAGAGTTTGTTTTATCGTAGAGAATTCCGATAGCTTGGAGATTTACATCCTTTAGCTTAGATATGACATGACATTGATAATATATGGTTTGGTGGACATAAGTTGCTCCTTTTTTAAAAAAAAAAAAAAAAAAAAAAAAACATTAACTTGTAAACTATGTAAACGTTTCAAAGTCGATGAACCACGACTATAGGTTCAGGGTTAAACAATCTACATGGAAATCAGATGTGCCAATGCTAATACAACTACATACCAAATACCATTGCCGCCACCGGAAACAGCATACTTATGTCTCGCTTTTTGACTCCGTTAAGGCGAGATAATAATGTTTTCCTCATATTTCATATTGAGTCTGTCATTTGCGCTTAAATTCCTTATGCATTTGTATATAAACTGTTAACACAGAGATATGTCTCGCCTTTTTGATAATGCAAATGTTGAAATTAAAATAGCAATACTTTAACATGTAAGTTATGCAAATATTCAAAGTCAATGAACCATGACTGAAGGTACATGGCAAAACAATCTCCATGGAAATGAGATGTGCTAATGCTAATACAACTGCATACCAAATACCATAGACTTATCATAAATTGTTCCTTTTCAACAAACCTAAACACAAACATTGACTTGTAAACTATGTAAAAGTTTCAAAATCAATGAACCATGATGAGGGGGTGGGCCTATATAATCCATGGAAACGAGACTTGCATATGCAAATACATTTGCATACCAAATATCATTGACTTAACATTAGCGGTTCATCTTAAACTGATCTAATCACAAACTAATACATGTAAACTAAGCAAAGTTTCAAAGTCAATAGACCATGACTGAGGGGGCAGGCCAAATATTCTCCATGGAAATGAGATGAACTAATGCGTATACAACTGCATACTAATTATTATTGACCTACCACTAACGGTTCCCCTTGAACTGACCTAATCACAAACTAATACATGAAAACGAAGCAAAAGTTTCAAAGTCAATAGACCATGAATGAGGGGGCGGGGCCAAATAATCTCAATGGAAATGAGATGTGCCAATGCTTATACAACTGCATACCAAATATCATTGACCTACCACTAGTGGTTCCCCATAAACTGACCTAATCACAAACTAATACATGTAAACAAAGTAAAGTTTCAAAATGAATAGACCTTGACTGAAGGGGCAGAGCCAAATAATCTCCATGGTAATGAGATGTGCCAATGCTAATACAACTGCATACCAAATATCAACGACCTACCACTAGTGGTTCACCATGAACTAGACCTAATCACAAACTAATACATGTTAACGAAGCAAAGTTTCAAAGTCAATAAACCTTGACTGAGGGGGTGGGCCAAATAATCTCCATGGTAATGAGATGTGCCAATGCTAATACAACTGCATACCAAATATCATTGACCTACCACTAGTGGTTCACCATGAACTAGACCTAATCACAAACTAATCCATTGTTGACGCCGCCGCCGGAAACATCATACCTATGTCTCGCTTTTTGACTCCCTCAAGGCAAGACAAAAAATTGAAATGATTATTCAAGTTTAAATCAATATTTTATTAACAACTAAACTTTTGTACAAATATATAAACATCATCATGATTATAAAACAAACATATATTTTTCCTATCAAATAAAAAAGCCACTCAGAGTTATGAGAGATTATTGCTATATAAAATACACAAAAAGTATATGCCCCAGTGATAAAACTAAAGGACTGTTGACAAAATATAAACTCTAATTTTTTTTTAAGTACTAGGGAAAATTGTAGGATTTCGTCCAAATTTATTGATTGATTGGTGTTTGATGCCACTTTCAACACTTTTGTGCTATTTTGTAGTGGTCAGTTTTATTGTTGAAGAAAGCAATAGTGGCCGGAGAACACCATAGACCTTTGGAAGGAAAACTAACAATCCTTGTCAGTTAAGATAAAAGTTGAGCGCAACTGCTATGTGCGGGATTCGAACTAACAACCTCAGAGTTGACAGGCTAGGAATACAGTATTTGGACTAATTATACCACTTAGCCACCGAGGCTTCTTATAAAAATTAAATTGGACATGTTGGATATAGCTTTAAATCTTCATACATTGATATCGGAAAATAAAATTATCCAAATTCAGAAATTCTGGTTCAACATTTTCAGCTCCATTAAACAAGGCTTTTCTAAAAGCCTGATAAAGTGGACAATCTAAAAGTGCATGCGATTCAACTTCTACAGTATCATTTATATACAATATTTTTTTTAATGAAAATTATAAACTTCTTTTATGTTCATGATTTAGATTCTTTGAACATGTTGAAGTGCAAGTATGTGCAAACCATTGAAATCTTCTTTCTTTACTTTAACACATGTATGTTAGGCAGGTAGTATTTAATGAAATTATGCATTTTTTGAAAATTCACTTACGATTTTATAGTAATTCTGTACACATTATTTACATGATTAACAAATTCACAGGATTTGTTCCCTGAATCCTTAGATATTAAAAAAGAAAAAAACAGTCACAAGTCAAAAAATATTTTTAAGTTTCTGAGCAATCATCTTGCAATAAGATGTAGTCAACTAGCAAATTAACAATACAAATAAGTTAACACAGTGACAAGATTCCCCATGCTAATATATATAATTGTTGTTTGACATGTTTTATTAAGGATAAATTATTAACAGTAATATCCAATTTGCTATTTGACCCGACTTCATACCAAAGTATCTCAAGTAGGATTTTTTAAATTTATAAATATAGATTGTCTTTGATGTATGACAGACATGTGTTATAACCATTCAACATAACAACAGGCAGATATATATGGAGAACATTTTTTTCTCTTATAACACTTTTTGATATAATTTGTAAGAACTCTCACTATACAATGCTATAGATTTAAGAGCTGGAATGCTTATATGTAATAATAGCATATTAATGACAAATGCCATGAGTCAATGTAAAAAAGTCTATAAAAGGATGTACCATTGAAAAAAACACCAAATAAAATGGAAGAAAGAAGAAATAAATTTCATACTAAGCGTCTCATTTTATCATGTTTGTTCAGACAATGCTGGCTAGATGAAAGTGATAGTTTGACAAATAGCATCATGAACATGTCTGAAAAAAATCAGAATTAATTGCCATCTATTCATTATTTAGAATAATTTTCTTTTCCTTAGATAATATTTACACTTTTAACATGTTTAATGAGCTTTTGGTGGTTTAATATTTTTCTAATCAAAAGTTGAAAAATACCATAGTGATCAAACTGAAATGTCTCGCCTTGATTACTAACCATTGAAATTAAGTTGACAGTCCTAAATATAAAGCTTTACTTCAACTATCACATAAACTTAAAATGGTCAAAGAAAATGAGGTCAGATAACATAGATAACAAAACTGCAAATACAAGAACACCTTAAAATCATTCGATACACCAAATATGCTTTAAATAAAGTTGACCTATTGCACATTTAAGAAACAAACTCAACCAGGAAACCTTAACATAGATCAATGAACCATAAAAATGAGGCCAAGGTCAGAAGTCCTTAACGCACAGACATGTACACCCTAAAATCATTAGATGCTTTAAATATAGTTAACCTATTGCATTTAGTATATTAGAAACAAAGTTGACCAGGAAAACTAAAGATTGACCAATAAATCATAAAAATGAGGTCATAGTCAGATGATAATTGACAAACAAATATAAACCTTACAATCATTTCATACACCAAATATGAATGACCTAGAATGCTTATAATATTAGAATAAATTGCTTCGCCAAGAGCAGCTGGATACGATCGCAGAGGTCCAACCCTGAACAGTTGGGGCAAAAATGGACACAATATTCGCACTTGATACAGGTCTGAATTTGGATTGTAATTAAATATTTGACATATAATAGGTTTCTGACACAGAATAACTGTAGATAAAGAACTTAGAACTAATTATATGATTTGAATTTATATTCAATTTTTTGCTTTTGTGCAATACACTATGCTGTTGTGAATTGCCCCCCCCCCCCCCCCAAAAAAAAAAAATGTTTACCACCCTTTTTTCTCCCTCCCCCTCACAATTTATTTTTTACTCCCCCCCAAATTTTTTATTCACCCCCCTTTTCCAAAAAAAAATAATAATTTTTCCCTCAAGATATGGTCATAATCTCAATTCAAATTTCCAATGGAGTTTGCAACCATAATTACCCATTTAAATACATCATAAAAGTCTTAATATAGAAAATGACATACATCAGCATTTTTAAATAGTAACTTCTAAAAATAAATTGACAGCTTATCACCTCAAGACAATACAACATTTCTTTATACATAAATTAAAAGCAGTGTAAGGGAGGTAATCTTTTTTTTTAATAGTCCATTAACCAGGAAACCCTTGTTTTTCCCCCTATTTTGCCCCTAATTCCTAAACGGATTGAGCCATAACCCCTCAAAGCCAATCCTAACCATCCCTTTGTGGTATGAATACTTATTGTATAATTTCAGAGAGATCCATACACCGTTCCACAAGTTATTGTCTGGAAACTAGAAAAATGCTTATTTGGGCCCCTTTTTGGCCTTTAATTCCTAAACTGTTAGGACTATAACCCCCAAAATCCCAACCTTCCTTTTGTGGTTATAAACCTTGTGTTAAGATTTCATAGATTTCTATTCACATTTACTGAAGTTATTGTCTGGAAACCAAACGTCTTCGGACGACGCTGACGATGCAGTCGTATAAAAACAGACCAAATACAAATAACCGTAAACATAAGGTCACGATCAAATATAACATGCCAGACTGACATGTACATAGTAAAATATTTTCATACACTAAATATATTTGACCTATTGCATACAGTATTAGAAAAACAGACCAAAACATAAAAACTAAACTTTAACTACTGAACCATGGAAATGAGGTCAAGTTCCGATGATACCTGCCAATTGGCCAGGTTCAACTTACAATCATTTCTTACACCAAATATAGTAGACCTATTGCTTATAGTATCTGATATATAGAGGTCAGGGTCAAGTGAAAACTGTCTGATGGGAATGAGGACTTTGCAAAGTACGCACATACCAAATAGTTATATTATTCATAATAAGAGAGAAATAACATGAATAAAGAATAATTTTTTTTTTTAAGTAGTCACTGAACCATGAAAATGAGCTCAAGAACAATGGACATATGACCGACGGAAACTTTATAACATAAGGCATCTATATGCAAAGTATAAAGGATTCAGGTCTTCCACCTTCTGAAATATTAAGCTTTTAAGAAGTTTGTTAACACTGACGTGGCTGCAGCCGCCAGATCACTCTCCCTATGTCGAGCTTTCTGCGACATAAGTCGCATGCTCGAGAAAAATGTTAATACTTAAAATTCACACTTGTTTGCTTCTTTGTTTGTTTTGGGTGTCTATATATTCGTCAGACTATTCAATGTCACTACGTATAGTCACTAATATCTTCATATTACAAAATCAGAGATAAATTCATTCAATGCCAATGTTAAGCATGTCACCATCATTTTGTTTATTCTTCAATATCAATTCATCCCCTTCATCACCAAACGTCATGTCAGATTCCTTACTCACATCTGACTCATTATTTTCATCATTTTCTGTTGTTATTCCACCATTTGCTGACACCTCTTCCTGAATTGTGTTAAATTGTGAAAATCTGCAATATAAACATGTTCTATAACACACTCTTCATTTCCATTATTCAGATACTGTTTGCTTTGCTTTAGTACTTTTCGAATTATACTTTGCACTTGAACTTTAAGATGTGCTATCTTCCATTTCATCTGAATCTGCACTATTTTCACTCTCCTCGGAAACCTTTTTTTCACAAAATGATTTAAGCATAGGATCATTATGACATTTTTTATGCTGATTAAGATTTTTAATACTGTCAAATGTTTTTTTCCACAAAAGCAATCAAACATTTCATTATTATGTTTTCTCATGTGCCCTAACAATCCTGATTTGCATCCAAACTGTTTTCCGCATAAGTGACACTGAGTCTGTTCATTTGCTGTCATATTCCTTATACATTTATCTTCATGTGGTGTAAATATATATAAGAAGATGTGGTATGAGTGCCAATGAGACAACTCTCCATCCAAGTCAAAATTCATAAAAGTAAACCATTATAGGTCAAAGTAAGGTCTTCTATACGGAGCCTTGACTTACACTGAACAGCGAGCTATAAGGGGCTTTAAAAAACAAATTTCTTGTTACATTTCTTGCATTTCAAAAGACCTCTATTTTTATGATTAAATATGTGTTTTTCTAATTGCTGTTTAAACTTAAATACACTAGTGCAGGATTTAACCTTGCATTCATAAAATTGATCCGAATGAAAAGTGAGCTCATGTTTACTCATTCCTGATCTGGTCCTGAAGGTCAACACACAATATCTACAAATATGTATCTTTGTTTCCTTCCTCTTTAAATAATGATGGTGGCTCGAATGCTTTTCATAATTCTTATAATCTTTTGTTGAAAAATTACATTTATCACATTTAAAAACCTTTGACCTTTTCTTTTTAATAGCATCATTTAACGTTTTTACAATACCCTCAATATCATCATCATCATCATCACCATCATCATCCATGTCATCATCATCAACATCATCGTTATTATCATCATTTTCACCACCATTTTCGTTAGGAAAGCAGCTATTCTCATGTTCTTTCAAATCATGTTTTGTAACAAATGATCTTGCACACTTCCCACATTTTGTTAAACCAGTTTCTTCATGCTCTAATAAATGTTCATTTAACTTGTGTTCATCCGAAAAATATTTAAAACAACCTTTCTCTAGGCATTCAAATACCATAGAATGTACCTTTTCCGTATGAACTTTCAATGCAAGTGTAGTTTTATCCTCTGTTTCACACTTATCACAAGTATGTGATTGGAGTTCTGCACTCTTTTGCTTGTGAATAAGGTAAGCATGGTGTTTTCTATGTTTAGTATACTGTATTTTATCTTCTGTTGAGAATTCACAATGTATACAACGGTAAACGTCTTGTGTCTGTTTTGATTTTTTTTCATTCCGCTGGGTGAGTAAAATTGAATTCATCCCTTCAACAAATTCCTCAACATTATCAGCATTAAACTCTTCCAAAGAAGTTTCTAAACTTGTATTCTCGACTGTTATACTTGCTCTTTTATTCTGATCAACTGCAGACGTCATACTGTTGTTATTTCTGCTAAACTTTAAAGATTCCCTATAATTGAAGCCTTTACCCCCCTGACAATGCATTTTACTCATATGTTCAGAGAGATTTTTTTGGGCTTTATACACTTTATTACAAATGTCACATAGAAACATTAATCTTTTGACACAATAATCTTCGTGTCTTTTTAGTGCACCCTTTAGTACAAATACCTGTGCACATTTCCTACATTTCAGAACACCTTGTGATTTGTGCCATAACAAATGTTTTTGTAAGACAAATTCTTCCACAAAACGTGATTTACACCCTCTAAGCACACATCTCAATATAGGCTTATCCGAATGCACTAAATTTTGATGTTTTATCAAACTGTCTTCTGATTTATATTCATTTCCACATTCATCACAGGAATATTTTGGAGGTTCAAGTAGTTTAGACATTCTGAGTTTTCGTTCCATGTAAGAGTGATGTTTTCTGTGTCTCTCTTGTTCCTTCTTATCACCTGTTGAAAATTCACACTTTTTACAATGCCACAACTTTTCATGATTGGTCTCACCTGATTCTCTCTTTACTTTATCTGATTGGTTCTTATTTCTAAGCTTTCTGTCATATATTTCATTGTTTTCACATCCATCAATGTCTATCTGTTCTTGTAACCGTGTTAATGGATCACTGTCACCTTCTTCTAAGGAAATAAGGTCTGGAAGTGGTGATCTTTCTTCACATGTCTTCTTTAAACATTCCTCTTCCAAATCAACTCTATCCTATAATCAGATTGAAATTCTTTGTTTTTCATTTAGAATTTCAAATTCAATTTATTCTTGCAGAGCTAAAGTTTTAGAATTAAGACTATTTACCGGGTTTGTAATAACATGAGCAATACGACGGGTGCAACATGTGGAGCAGGATCTGCTTACCCTTCCAGAGCACATGAGATCACCCCCAGTATTTGGTGGGGTTCGTATTGCTCAGTCTTTAGATTTCTATGTTGTGCCTTGTGTACTATTGTTTGTCTGTCTTTTTCTTTTAGCCATGGCGTTGTCAGTTTATTTTCGATCTACGAGTTTGAATGTCCCTCTGGTATATTTTGCCCCTCTTTTAAGGTTTTTTAAAATTTAAATAACAAACGATTTTTTAAAGCGGTTATTACATTGTTAGGAAATGCGCTCAATTAAAGTCATTACAGTTATATGTCAACTATTTTATTTTACCACTTTATCTTTTTACAATTGTCCTTCTTATAACATTGTGCACATGTGAATAATAAGGCATTCAGTATAATAAAAACATACTGCCTTTCGTGAAAAATTGTTATCCCTAAATCCCAACACCTTCATCCAAGGGCAGTATGTTTATATAACAGGTGTCTTCACCATTGTTGATTTCACTGGTAAAACCTATTTTTGAAAGTGGAAAAAAGAGAATCAACTCGAGCTTTATTAAAAATAAATTAGGAATGTGTCCATCACCACAGAAGATGCCCCCACTTGAATATAAAGTTATATTATAAAGGGACATAACTCAAGAACATTAAAAGTAATGCTACCCAAATTCGTACTTAATCTGAGTTTTGTGGTACCAAGCATCGTTTATAAGTTTCATTTGGGTGAGGCGCAAACTTGAGTTAGAGAACGGAAACGAAAAATTCTGCATTTTTTCCATTTGTAATAGGCAAAAACTCTAGAAAGGTAAAAGAGACGCCACTCAAATTCAACTTGATCTGTATTTTGTGGAAATGAGCTTTGGTGTACAAGATTCAAAACATTTGGTAAAGGTAAACTTAAGTTAGAGAACGGAGAAATATTTCGGGATGTTCAGACAGCTCAATTGTAGAACTTAATGCCCCCTCCAGTAAGGCGGGGGATAAAAAACACTTTAGGAAGTAATTCACTAGATTTTTTTATAAAGTTATTTGTATTTGAATCAAGATTAAGATAGGTATTGACCTGCTATTAAAATCAAGACATTTTTATAAATATTTATAGCAAAATCTTACTTTCCTTGGGTGGCCAGGAAGATTTCAGAAAGGATTTATTCTGTCCTGGAAGAAATGAAAAAATCTTACCCTTGAAACACGTATGATGCAAATGAATATGTAAACATAGCAAGAGGTCCAAACAAAAATTTTAATCTCAAATCAATGTCTTTCCATTCTCCCAAATCAAAATCAAATTGCCCCTTCCTTAGTGTATTTTACAAACATGGTTTCTAACAGCATAGAGGCAATATATGATGCATTAACACTGATAAATGATTAAGGGATTTGTGTTCATAAACTGTTTAATATCAGTCTGAGTCAGTCTTAATGTATTATTACCACTGAACATGCTGAACAGTCAAGTGCCTTACTACATGTACTATATCATCTATATACATTTATTACGGAAAATATCATGTGCATGTATTTATTCATTGTTAATTTGTTATTCTTCATTGTTCTTGTAAATTCTTGTTCAACTTTAACAAAAACAACAAAGAAGGACAAAGTTATTGAACTAGACGTACTAGTGTACTGGGATCATCACTTAACAAGAAAGTGTCAATAGTACACGGATGCCCCACTCACACTATCATTTTCTATGTTCAGTGGACAGTGAAATTCGAATCAAAACTCTAATTTGACCTGAAGCGTGACAGACGGATGGACGGAAACACAGACCGAAAATCATAATGCCCCTACCTGGGGCATAAAAACTAAATTGAGACTTTTTGTCATGTGACTACCTGTCCAACATTCTACATGAAAATAATACTCATATACATTTGTATGTAACCTAATTTTAACAACATGTAAGCAAACTTTTATCAAAAGTACTGGTATGCAGGCAAGACCAGGAAATACAAGCATTCTGTGAGTATTGCATGGCAATACATAGTCCCCTACCGGTTAAAAATGCAATGTAATGGAACAAAATGCTAACTTGATCTATAACTTGTCATGGTGTAAACTACATAAAATAGCAAACAAACCAACCACTTTATTCTTCAAACAATTCACTAAAGAAAAGGAAAAAAATCCAAAATGTCATTTATCTTAATACAATGTCTTTTACAAATCTTTTAAAAAATGAGTTATTTCCTTTTGAACAGAAATGTAGTAATAAATAAGTATTTCACCAAAATTTAATTCTAGGAAAAGTTAAAAAATTAGTTATTCCCCTTTGAACCGAAATCTAGTAATTAATAAGTATTTCATCAAAAATTTAATTCTAGGGAAAGGGCTTTAACTGAACAAGGAGAAAAGCTAAAATCGTGAAAATCAAACTTGACCTGTAACTTGTCATGATAAAACAATACACCAAATATCAAATCAATATCTTCAAGCATGAAGAAAAAAGGTCTGGAAAACTGATTTGCCAGCCTGACGGATGGACAGACAGATGGACAGAGTGCAAACCTAAAGTCCCCTTTGACTTCGTCGGTAGGGGACTAAAAATATCCAGGAACTAAAATGTAAATAGTACAACATGTCCATGTTTCGTCAATCTAATATTGATTACCCACAAAAATAAATGAGTTCATAGCATTATACATGTATAAATGTAATATACATTCACAATACATATTTAAATCAACCACATTTTAGCGCCTATCCAAAGTCAAGAACCTCTGGTCTTTGTTAGTCTTGTATGCTTTTTTAATTGGGTTCATTTTTATGTTTCGGGGTTTAGTGTGACGTCCTTTTTCACTGAACATTACTGTTTAGGGACCAGATGAAGCTAGCCTTTGGTTGGGGGATTTTCTCACAGTGTTGAAGATCCGTCAGGAAGATCCATTTGTGGCCTCAGGCTGTTTTCTGCTCTGTGGGTGGGGTGTTGTCTCTTTGAACAATTTCCCGTTTCCATTCTCAATTTTATTTGAAAATTAATAAGTAAATAGTTCAACTTTATTTTACCATAAATACATGCAGATCTATGTTTTTGCAATTATCCCAACATAATAAACTTAACCTATCAATCATGTACAAACGTAATACATCTAAGACTATATCTTAAATGATCTTAAATCATTTCATAACTAAATTCATGTTTTATCATGTTCATGCATATATACAGCATGTACAGGTAATTATTAAATACATGTACAAATAAAAGTATTAAACAAAATGACCATTTTGAACAATTTCAATTAAGCATTTAAAAACAATCATAGATTTATAAAAATCAGGTATAATGCCATATAGAATGTTATTGCGTATATATAATGATTGTATGTTCGGACATATGAAATAAATATCACATTATTTCATTCTTTATAATTACAAATGCCATGAGCATGATGAGTCAATGTTAAATTAAGTTCGAGAATGGAAACGAAAAACTCCAGTTTTTTTCACTTGTAAAATAACCTGCTGGTCATTAGTTGTCGTTTGTTGATGTGGTTCAGTGGTTGTCATTTGTTGATGTAGTTCATAAGTGTTTCTCTTTTCTCGTTTTTTATATAGATATGACCAATGGTTTTCCTGCTTGAATTGTTTTACACAAGTTTATCATTTTGGGGCCCTTTATAGCTTGCTGTTTTGTATGAGCCAAGGCTCCGTGTTGAAGGCCGTACTTTGAACTATAATTGTATGGAGAGTTGTCTCAATGGCACTCATACCACATCTTCTTATTCTTAATAGCTCCAAAATGGTAAAAGTGACGCCACCAAATTTCAAACCGGATCAGTGTTTTGTGCTAATAAGCATTGTGTATAAGGGTTATAACATTTTGTTGAGGCACACTTAAGTTAGAGAACGAAAAAAAGCAATTATTCGATTTGTAAAGGGGCAAATTCGTAGAAAGATAAATGTTTTGACACCTTAATTTAAACTTGATCTGGTTTTTGTCGAGCCTGCGACTTTTGTCGCAGAAAGCTCTACATAGGGATAGTGATCTGGCGGCGGCAGCGGCGTTAGCCATCTTCTTAAAAGCTTTATATTTTAGAAGGTGGAAGACCTGGATGCTTCATACTTTGTATATATATGCCTTCCGTTACGAAGTTTCCATCTGTCACATGTCCATTGTCCTTGACCTCATTTTCATGGTTCATGCAGTGACTACTTGAAAAAAAAGTTGAGATTTTTTGTAATGTTAATTATTTCTCTCTTATTATGAGTAATAGGATAACTATATTTTGTATGTGCGTACCTTGCAAGGTCCTCATGTGCGTCAGACAGTTTTCACTTGACCTTGACCTCATTTCATAGATCAGTGAACAAGGTTATGTTTTGGTGGTCAAGTCCATATCTCAGATACTATAAGCAAAAGGTCTATTATATTTGGTGTCTAGAAGGATTGTAAGGTGTACATGTACAACTGGCAGGTGTCATCTGACCTTGCCCTCATTTTCATGGTTCAGTGGTTATAGTTAAGTTTTTGTGTTTTGGTCTATTTTTCTTATACTTTATACAATAGGTTTACTATATTTGGTGTATGGAATGATTGTAAGGTGTAAATGTCCAACTGGCAGGTGTCATCTGACTTTGACCTCATTTTCATGGTTCAGTGGTCAAAGTTAAGTTTTTGAGTTTTGGTGTTTTTTTCTAATACTATATGCAATAAGTCAACTATATTTGGTGTATGGAAATATTTTATGATGTACATGTCAGTCTCGCAGGTTTTATTTGACCTTGACCTCATTTTCACGGTTCATTGATCAGTGTTAAGTTTATGTGTTTCGGTCTGGTTTTCTTAAACTATAAGCAAAAGGTCAACTATATTTGTTGTATGGAAGGATTGTAAGCTGTTCATGTATGCCTGGCATGGTTCATCTGACCTTGACC